GTGTGTGAGGCTTAGAGGGTGTGTGATAAACCCAGTTCAGACTAGTGAAGTAAAAATGAGTTCAGCATCCTTCCTTCAGTGGAGAAAACCCTGGATGTGATGTCAAAAGATCTGGGGCAAGCTCCTCCTGGAGCTGCTTATTAGTTGGTAGTAAGGGCAGGTCAGGTAGCTTGTCTGAGCCTCTGTCTTCCTACTGGAGACAACTGGATGGGTAAATCGGTGCCCCTTGCAGTGACTGCACCACTGCAGGAGCCCTCCGCCTCCCATCTGAGTCTGGTCCCCACTCAGTTCCAGGTGTTCCTGAAGCAGATCAACAGCTCACTGGTGGACTCTAACATGCTGGTGCGCTGCGTCACCCTGTCACTGGACCGATTTGAAAACCAGGTGGACATGAAAGGTAGGATTTGCTAGAATGCCAATGCAAATCCATCCAGTGTGGCCTCGCTGGTGTCAGATACCCAGCTTTCAGCAAGGAAACCTGAAAGGCTGGAAGGAGCCACATCAAACACCCATGTGGCTGGGGTCAAGGTGGTGGCTCTCTGGGTGATTTTCTTTGCTGCTTTTACTTTCCTCTGTGGTTTGTGCTTCTTTTAATAAGCATGTACAACATTTTAATTAAGGTGAAAAACCATTGTTGCCACTGGAATGCAAAAAACATTCTTCCTCTCATGGGCTGGGATTGCCTGGGATGAGAAGGACCTAAGTGGTGACGACTGGGGGAGGGCCTCGGGGAGAGATGGTCCCTGAGCACGACTGAAGAGAGGTATTGAGCTCCCATGTGGGGCTGTAGTGAGATCACAGGCTTAGCCTGGGTGGCAGAGCAGCTGGAGATTTGTTCCTGCTGCAGTCAACCTTTCATTCATTGTCTTGACAATTGGGGCTTCCAGCTTCAGAGTCAGGTCCTGTGAGAGCTTGACTAGTGGCTTAGGTCGCAGCCCCAGCCTGAGCCACAGACCAACTTCAAGCCTGCTGGTCACACCCCTGCCTCTCTGTCCCCAGTTGCCGAGGTCCTGTCTGAGTGCCGCCTGCTCGCCTACATAGCCCAGGTGCCCACGCAGATGTCTTTCCTCTTCCGCCTCATCAACATCATCCATGTGCAGACACTGACGCAGGTGAGAAGCCCTGTGGACTGCGATGTGGGAAGGGAGATAGTCCCGGAGCCTGACAGCTGCTCCTTCCCACCCTCACCCTAGGAGTGTGTCTCCCTGAGACCCATCTCGGTTCCTCCCAGTTATTCTGAGGACTTTTTCCAATAAGGTATCAGTGCCCATTTTACAGATGGGGCCTGAGGAGGAAGCAAATCTCTGAGGTCGCAGACAGGTTGGGGAAGAGTCGGGGTTGGCACTCAGTTCTGACTCCCAGTTCAGTGCTCACCCCACCACACTTGCTGTGCAGGCTTTGGGCTTGGACCTGAGGTTGACTCCCACCTCCCTCAGCTGTGTAGTCGTCATTCTCTGAACTTCACGCTCCTCTTCTCTAAAAGGGGGTTAATATTAGTACCTCTCAGAGGTGGATCTTTTATTCCTTCATTTGACAAACACTTAGTGAGGTGAGGCTTGGGCTGGGGTTGCAAAGTGAACAGAACAGGCCGAGACTCTTCCCTCCTGGTGCTCACAGTCTAGTGACAAATGAAAGTTAGAAAGGAAATGCTGCATCTAAGGTGCGTGCCCCAGGGACCAGAGCTTCTGGAAGAAGCAATGCCTGAGCTGATTCGGGAGACCAGGTAGACTCTCACTAGACAGATGTTGGGTGATGTTCCCACCAGGGCG